GCCCTACTATGTGTCAGTACTTTATAGCAAAAATTCTGCAACCCTTTAGGCAACAATTCCCAAACTTTTACCTCGTCCATTATATGGATGATATATTGTTAGCAGGCCCTGATAGGAAAGCACTTTTCCGGTCTTATGAAGTCCTCCAGTCCCTGTTAAAGGGGGCTGGACTGATTATAGCCCCAGAGAAGGTGCAGATTCAGTATCCTTATAACTATCTAGGATATACTATTAACAAGGTAGGGATCACTCCCCAGAGGCCTCAATTTCAGGTGAACCAGCTCAAAACCCTGCACCAATGGCAGACATTTCTGGGGGAAATCCAATGGCTGCGGCCTTCCCTCCATGTCCCTACTGGTGAACTTAAACCCCTGTATGACCTTTTGAGAGGAGACCCCTCACCCACCTCCCCGCGAAAACCTACTCCAGAAGCCTTGAAGGCTCTTAGATTGATAGAGACAGCCTTACAAGAGATGCAGGTGATGCAGGTGGACTACTCCCAGTCCTTGTTATTCATTGTTCTGCCGTCAAAACTCACCCCGACTGGAGTCTTTTGGCAGACTGGTCCCATTTATTGGGTTCACTTACCTGCATCACCCTCCCGGGTCTTGATACCTTTCCATGATCTGGTAATACAATTAGTTTGGAAAGCAAAATATCTAGGAGATGCCTTGTTTGGGAAAACCTTTGATGTTTTCATATTACCATATAATCAAGACATTCTTTCTAAATTAAGACAGGAACATGATCTCTGGTGTCTTTTCTTCTGTAGTTTCATGGGACAGGTTGACAATCACTACCCTAAAAGCAGGCTCCTTGAAAGTCTAAAGACATGTCCAATAATTTTCCCAAAGATCCTAAAAAAGGATCCTCTCCCGGGGGCACAAACCGTCTTCACTGACGGGGCCAAAAATGGGTTTGCTGTCATTTCAGATGGGACCCAAGTCATCCGCAAGAGAGTGGCCAATTGTTCGGCCCAAAAAAGCGGAGGTTGCAGCCTTAATATTGGCCTTACAGACCTATAGCTCGGTGCCCCTTAATGTTTTCACAGATAGTCTCTATATCGCCAGGCTCGCCTCCGCGATTGAGACGGCACCTTATATTGGAAAACAATCCACTATCATGGATCAACTACAAACAGTGCAGCTTCTTATATGGGCTAGGGCAGACCCCCTCTTCATAGGTCACATTAGAAGTCATTCGGACTTCCAGGTCCTCTGGCGGCGGGCAACGCCATGGCAGACGCTGCCACACATGCCACTAATTTTATATATACAATAACTGAGTATGATAAGGCCCTACAACTTCATAATAAATTTCACCTAAACGCACAAACTTTGTGCTTCCGCTCAGGATGTTCCCGGGATCAAGCTTTAAAAATTGTCTCCCTATGTCCTACTTGTGCACCTTTTATCCATTCCCCTTCTCTGGGAGTCAACCCAAGGGGCCTTCAGCCAAACGACATCTGGCAAACTGATGTAACTCATATTCCTAGTTTTGGAAAACTGTCTTTTGCGCATGTCAGTATAGACACGTTCTCTGGTTTTATCTCCGCTACTTTACATTCAGGAGAAAAGGCTAAGGACGTGATACAGCACTATGTTAAAACCTTTTCCTTTATGGGAACCCCTCAATGTATAAAAACAGATAATGGCCCAGCTTATATTAGTCAAACCTTCCAAAAATTTTGCTCACAGTGGGATATTATACACAAAACAGAAATCCCATATAACCCCCAAGGACAGGCCATTGTTGAATGGGCCCATCAACATCTTAAAACCTATTTGCAAAAAACAAAAGAGGGGGAGATATACCAGAATTGTCAGGGACCACAAGCACTCCTAAGCATAACTCTATTCACTTTAAATTTTTTGCTCACTGACGCCGAAGGCCGTACAGCGGCGCAGCGTCACTTTTCCCCTCCCACCATACAAAAAGCACAGATAAGATGGAAGGATCTGGCTACAGGGAAGTGGCAACCCCCTGCTCCACTCTTGGCTAGAGTGAGAGGAGCTGTATGTGTCTTCCCTCCAGGGACGGAAAAACCCATTTGGGTCCCGGAACGCTGCACGAGACCGGTAGACGCAGACTCAGGAAGGAGCAACGACCCTGGGACTTCAGGGGGAAATTGACTCCTATCTTCAGTTGGCTGGGTGCCAGGGTCAAGTCGCCAATACAGGTTCACTACCAATGCCTGGAGATGGACGACTCCACCCACGAGGTGTACTTACGACCCATCCGGAGATGAGATGTAACTGGACAGGAGCCAATACCTGAGCCCTCCTATGTATGCCTGCTTTTGCCCAGGTCCCTAATTACCCTGCCGACTTGGTGCCGTCATCCCTGGTCATAGCTATCCCACTGGCAAAGATGATGACTGGGATCCACAGTTGTGTCCTGCTGGCCATGACATCCTAACTGAAAAGTGTCTGTTTACATAGGACAAGAGCTGATCTTGTAGTACCCAGTGACGGGCAACTTCCACGCTTGCACTGCAACCTAAGTCAGGGGAATGGGGCCTCCCCAGGGATGGGTAAGCAGTGCAGGGGTGGTGGACGACCTAAGACAGGGGCTACTTGATTCCCATTGACATGCAAAAAACAAAAAAGGGGGACTTGCTGGAAGCAGGCCCTCCCTGGCCCCTGGGGACTCAACCCCCAGTTCTTTGTTATGCATGTCAATGTGGCCAGCTCACAAGGCCGTGAAGCTGGCTTGCGGTTCCCTGTTTATCTGCCTAGAGCATATGTGTCTCTCGGGAACATCTTGACCTGTTTGAGCCTCCTGATAGGGGACGGTGACGTGACGGTAACCCAAGGACGCAGTTATTACTCTTCCCTCCTCACTTTTGAGTGATTTCCCGCAGCCGTTAAAAAGATATATAAGGGGAACAAATTTGGCAATAAAGCACACACATGCTCCCTCCTGGATGAAGAACCTTGGTGTCCTGTGTATTTTTTAACCCCGCCGTCCCTCGCCGGACTCGGCTCCGTTAGCGGACGCGGCAATAGATGGATACAATACCTTTATTTTATTTATTTATCTTTATATGGTGCTAAGGTTCGAACCCAGGGCCTCACACATGCTAGGAAAGCGCTTTACCACTGAGCTACACCCCCAGCCTCTATGTTCACTTTTGTATGAACATAAAGTTAACAAATGTTACATAGTCCCTGCCCAAATTATTTGAATTCCATGCAGGGATCTGGGTGCCTGGAGGATGATACCAATAGTGGACACTAGGTTATTTGTGGAATGAACAAATGGAGATATTTGGTACTTTCTATGGTATACAGACCCAGCTGGAATATAAAAGTTCCTCCAGGACTTCATTTCATTCCTCTGCCAAACATGTGGTAGGGATTCCAAAACTAGGTGTACAAGCCTCACATTCCAACAGGTGGGTATTTACATCTGTGTTCCATATAAAGGTAGGAACTAGAACCTCTGTTTGCGGTTGTATTTTTTTTAATACTTATTTTTTTAGTTTTAGGTGGACACAATATTTTTATATTTATGTGGTGCTGAGAATCAAACCCAGTACCTCATTCGTGCTAGGCGAGAACTCTACCACTGTGCTACAACCCCAGCCCCTGCTTGTGGTTCTTTCCTGTAAAGAACCACAAGCAGGTGGTGGCACATGCCTGTAATCCCAGCGGGTTGGGGGGCTGAGGCAGGAGGATCTCGAGTTCACAGCCAGCCTCAACAAAAGCGAGGCCCTAAGCAATTCAGCGAGACTCAGTCTCTAAATAAAATACAAAACATAGGGCTGGGGATGTGGCTCAGTGGTCGAGTGCCCCTGAGTTCAATCCCTGCTACCTCTCTCAACCCCCTCAAAAAAAGTGTGACCCCAAAAAGGAAAGGGAGAGAGGCGGGGCGGGGGGGGGAGGGGGGAGAGGGAGAGGGGAGGAAAGAAACAGAGCAAAGGCGGGCATTCTGAGTAAACTCAAAGATAGTCGAAGAGCTGGCCCTGCCCAAGTCCGCAAGCAAAGGGGTGGAGTCCGGCTGGGCAGGAAATCTCGCGGCTCCTCTTGGCTGGACTGCAGACTTAATTGCTCTTAATTGGCCTTTGCGGGAAGCGTCGCAGGCTGTGGATCGGGTTTCTGCTGTACTGGGGGATTCCTGGGAGCAAGTGACCTTGGGGACAAGGCAGAGTAGTGTCACACAGCTCGCAACAGCACGACTAACATATCACCGAATAGCTTTTAAAGCGCAGGAAGAGCTAAGCGAGGCTAGCTAGCTCTCCACAGGAGAGGGCTGCTAGGCACCAGCCACCTTGTCCGAGGTCCCTGATGACCAAGTCGTTGGCGTGGTTTGTGGGGCAGTCGTTAACTTCTCAAGCCTCCGCTTCTCCTGTTTTATTACTATTTCAATTTTATTTATTGGTAATGAGGTGGAACACAGGAGCGCTTTATTACCGAGTACATCCCCAGTCTTTTTTAAATTTTGAGGCAGGGTCTTGCTAAATTTCTGAGGCTGGCCTCAATTTTGCAATCCTCCCGCTTTAGCCTCCAGAGTTGCCAGGATTACAGGCGTTAGACACCGCGACTGGCTTCACCTGTTCTAAACAGGGGACGGCGCTGAAATCTAGTCGGTAGATTATAAACAAGGGCTTTTTATTAGAGGAACCCAAGAAAAATTTCTCTTCCCCACCCCAAACCGAGATTTAGGGGTGTCTGGTAGGCCGCAGGCCTCTCCAGGGATCTAGCTGCTGGACTGTGCATGAATTTCCAGGAAAACTAGTTGTGGGAGAGAGCAAGACTGAAAGGTTCCTGTCGTTCACTGGTGGAGTATTCGCTGGAAATAAGACATCAAGCTGTGCTGGCTGGTCACTCGCCCTAGCTTCGGGTTGGGGGTTGCGGGGACAGATTTTCACTTAATTGGCATGGACCCAAAATATTGGATGGTCCGGTGCGAAAGTTTCATAGTGTATCTTCCACTGCCCGCGCTTGTTGTGGGTCTCTTCCCTCCCGATAGAGAAAAAAGTTTAAGTCAAATCAATATACAATAAAAGGCACAGTATCTGTGTTTTATTTCAGCATTTTTGAATTATGCAAGAAAAGTCCCATTTCGTCATTGGAATTATTATTATTTTTTTTTTGTAGGAGACTCAATGAATATACTTGTCATGTATGGACTGCAAATGTAGTTCTTAAATGATTATGGCCATGTTTTAAGTTATTTTGAAAGCTTTATTTTTTTAAAAAAATATTTTTAGTTGTAGATGAGCACAATACCCTTATTATTTATTTGTTTAAATGTGGTGCTGAGGATCGAACCCAGAGCCTCACATACGTGCTAGGTAAGCGCTCTACCGCTGAGCCACATGCCAAATCTTTTTTTTTTTTAAGGGCAATAACTGAAGTAAAGGGAAGAAGAAAATGGCTTTTGTTTCCAAAGTTTTCTATAGGCTTTTAAAAATAACACATCTTTTTAAATAGTAAATCTAATAAGACATCTTTAGAATTTTTATTTATACCTTTATTCCATTCATTTATTTTTATATGGTGCTGAGAATCGAACCCAGGGCCCCACACATGCTAGGCAAGCGCACTACAGCTGAGCCACAATCCCAGCCCTAAAATAACATGTCTTTTTGCAGAGCATGGTGGTGCCTACCTGTAATTCCAGAGACTTAAGTCTTAGACAGTGGGACAGCAAACTGACCTTGGCAACCTGGTGAGACCCTGACTCAAGCCAAAAAACTGGGGATGTGGTAAACACTGGTAAACTCAGTGGTAAACATTCAGTTTCAAACAAAACAAATAAAAAATTAAATTAAAAAGCATATCTTAGTATTGTCCTACCTTTCTAGTACTATTTTTTTTTTTAAATTGGAGATTGAGCCCAGGGGTGCTTAACCACTGAGCAACACCCCCAGTCCTCTTTATTTTTTGAGACAGGGTTTTGCTAAATTGCTGAGGCTGACCTCGAACTTGGGATTCTCTTGCTTCAGCCTCCCCAGTCGCTGGGATTGCAGGTATTCACCACCGCAGGCAGCTAGTATTACACTTTACTGGAATAAAATTGATTCAGTGCATTATTTTACGGAATGCTAATGTGTATCAATTGAGCTTCATGGTGCTTGAAGAGTGTTCTGGTTCCTTTCTTTTAAAAGAAACTAAAGCAAATTTCATATATTGTATTTCAACCATATACTCATAATATAGTTCTTTTATTAGTTTTAAGTACAGTACTAAGTGAATTCCCAGAGTGTGACACCCATGATTAAATAAAATGCAAATATATCCCCGAGTAAAAATGGGCCACTTTTAGACGTCCTACTAGAATGTTGATTATCTGATCCTCTTAATAACTCAGATTAGAGAACATACACGGTGGCTTGAAATGTCACAAAAATTATATGTATTTTATTATTATTATTTTCTTTTTGCAGTACTGGAGATGGACCCAGTGAATGCCAGGCAAGCATTGTACCACTAAAAAACACTCCCAGCCTGCATTTTGTATTTTACTTTTTGGCTTGAACCCAGGGGACTTTACTACTGCAGAACAGCCCCTGACCTTTTCTTTTCTTTTTTCTTTGAGGCAGGGTCTACTTAGTTACTGATGGCCTAAATTGCTGAGGCTAGCCTTGAACTTGACATTGTTCTGCCTCAGCCTGGGATTACAGGCATGTGTCACTGTGCCAGGCCCATGCATCTGTGTTTTTTAAATATTCCCTTATGTGATAGGATTGAGATCCTGTGGACAGGAAGAATCAGATGGTCCTACTGCCCCTCCCTAGCATATGTATGGGGAGGACAGAGGAAAATCTTGACTAGAGGGCCTATTTTGCATGTAAGAAACACTGGGATGTTTTTGAGAAAACACTGATGCCCAGGCCCAACATGCTAGAAATTTTAATTTGCCTAAGTTTTGTATTTTACTTTTTTGGTTGTGGTGGAAATCAAAGCCAGGCCCCTGAACACGACAAACAACCAACTCATATCACTGAACTACACCTCCAGCCCGGCATCTATATTTTTAAAACCTTTTGGGGCTGGGGATGTGGCTCAAGTGGTAGCGCGCTCGCCTGGCATGCGTGCGGCCCGGGTTCGATCCTCAGCACCACATACAAACAAAGATGTTGTGTCCGCCGAAAAATAAATAAATAAATTAAAAAAAAAAAAAAAAAAAAAAAAACCTTTACAAATAACTTTAATGTGTAGCCAAGGTTGAGAACCCTTGGTATAGAAACAAATATCCTTCCATTTTTCCCCCTTATAGGCTGAATAAAAATGTAAATCCTTAACAAAGGAATTAAGTAGCAGTACATAATATCAGTAAGGAATTAAAAGATTTTCTCTGGGCTGAGGATGTAGCTCATTGATAGAGTGCTTGCCTAGTATGGGCAATGCCCTTAGTTGGATCCCCAGCACTAGGAGTGGGAGTGAGGGTTAGAAAGATAAAAGGAAAAAGGTATATCTAGTGGAATAAAGAAACTATATAATGTGAGAGAGGCAGGGGGATTGCCAGTTCAAAGCTAGCCCAGACAACTAAGGGAGACCCTGTCTCAAAATTAAAAACAAACAACAACAACACAACAAATTAACAGGAATAGGGCTGTGGCTCAATAGTAAAGTGCCCCTAGGCTCAATTCCCAGTACCCAAAACAAAAACAAACAAGAAATCTCAACTGTATAGTAGAATGCTTATCTAGAAATTTGAAAGAGGGAAGCAGACAAAATATAATAAAATCTTGGATGTACTTTCTAAGCCATTCAATAGAATCAAACTTGCAAAAGATCTAATCAAGTCCAAAGGTAAAGAGGCAACTGGACTTCAGTTTCCTGTTTAAAAATGATGAGTGGCCTGGGAGCAGGATGCACACATATAATCCCAGAAGTTTGGGAGGCTGAGGCAGGAGGATCACAAGTTCAAAGCCAGCCTCAGCAATTTAGCGAGGCTCTGTCTCAAAAAATAAAAAGGGCTGGGGATGTGGCTCAGTGGTAAAGCACTTCAGGTCCAATATCTGGTACCAAAAACTTTTTTAAAAATTTAAAATAAATAAAAATAATGAGCAGGGCACAGCGGTGAACATCTGTAATCCTAGCTACTCAGGAGACTGAGGCAGGGGGATTGCAAATTCAAGGCCAGCCTGGGCAACTTATCAAGACCTTGTCTCAAAAAAAGAAAGAAAGAAAAGAAAGGGCTAGGGATGTAGCTCAGAGGCAAAGCATCCCTGCGTTCAATCCTCATTATTAAAAAAATAATTAAACATTATGTCTTTAAGAGTCCCTTTGCTTCTCTTGCTTTGTATGGCTTATACTTAATAATATTATACTTAAATATTTGACTTCTTGGTGGCATTAATACAGTTCTGTGGGGAGAAAGCCGATGTTAAAAAATAAAGTTTATAGAACATCTGTTGATTTCATCTTTCTGGCCCATTCATGGTTCCATTGGCATGGATAGTCAAGAAACTCCTGTATCAAAATACAATATTAATTATACTTCACAATGTATGAAACACTGGCTAAACACTGCCATTCCTGATAACCTGAATTTTATCACTTAAACTTTCATAACTAAAGCCGCATTTTTTTTAATATTTATTTTTTAGGTGTAGATGGACACAACACAATACCTTTATTTTTATGTGGTGCTGAGAATGGAACCCAGGCCCCGCCTGTACTAGGAGAGCGCTCTACCGCTGAGCCACAATCCCAGCCCCTAAAATCACATTCTTTATGTAGCATTTATTCTGTATAGGATCTATCCACATACAATGACTAAACAACTTTAAAACAATGAACTGTTACTTGTATAAAATCACCTTATAAAAGAGAATGATACACAATACACCTGTGAGTAAGTTGATATTCTAGGATTCAGAAAACCTGATCATTCTAACCCTATTTTTTGCCATTGATTCACTGGCTGTTTTAAATAGGCTGCTTTACTGTTCTGTGCCTCAATTTCTTTACCTTTCATGTGGGATAACTGTCCTACTTCATAGAAATGTAAAGAAAAACAAAAATTATTAAATAATTTGCAGATATAAAATGCTATATAAATGATAAATAGTAATACTGATACACTCTAATATAAAATAACATAAAAATTTTCATGTATAGAGTTTGGTCCTCCTGTACCTGTTTACTATCACCGTTCTTAGTTACATACGTCTTTTTATGCCATAGTGCTTTTAGTGATTTTCTACACTACTAATTTCAGACTCAAAATACATTTAAAAAAACAATATGAGTAGAAATTTCAATATATCTTAGCATGACTTAGCAAAATAATTTTAATGAATTGAGTTCTGAGTTCATATATAACTGGAACACCAAGTTTTTTTCATCCACTAAGCAGTAACTTGGCCACATAGGAAGCAATAACTATGTTTTGATTGTATTACTCAAAAACATAATATTGAAAAATATTAAAACTCTTGTTCTTAAAGTTTTAAGATCTCATGATCATACAAGGAACATCAAATGCTAAAGATGTGATCTGCTCACTAAGACATCCTATCTTAGTTACCTGCTTATAAATACAGTCAATAATAGTAGTAATGAAGTGAGCTTTTGATACTCAAAGGGAATACAAGAAGTTGTCTAGCTCCATGATTTTCAATTCTGTGTTCCCGAGTTCTGCAGAGGTGCCTGAGAAGAGGAACAGGGAAGATGTGCCACAGCATCTTGATTTTAGAGCTTCTTCCTCCAATGTTGAACTTCTTTATGAAACAATTCATTTGAAGTTTCTTGGGTTAAAAAATTTTTTTTAAACTGATGCTGGTTTGTTTTTCTTCTTCCAGACACTAGGCATGACTGCAGTAGTGGTTTATTTTTGCAAAACTTCATCCCTTCAACCAGACACTCTTGAGGACAATAAAGTGAGAAGGATATCCAGAAGATAATAAACAGCATATCTGCAAAAGCAAACTTTGGCCTAATCAATTCCCATTATTTTCTTGATGTTGAAGAAGAAAGAAAAAAAAAATCCTTGGCATAAATAAAGCTTACTTTAAACAAATTATATCCCTGTGTAGCATTTTCCCACATTTAAAAGCTAAAGAATTCAATTTTCTCAGAAATCATTAATAGATAAGTTTCATTCTAGAAAATAATTTTCTCTAAAGTCTTACCTACATACGATATGATAACTGGAGTCATTATTTACAACTTGCAAACATTCTTAAATGTTCTTCTTTTATGCTGCTAAAATGATAGAATAGATGTTTTGTCTGCTGAATCTGACAGCTGTTTGGTGGGTACTGTTTGATGCTTCATATAAACAGTTATGAGAAAGCATTCTTTCTGAAAAAGGCAATTAAAGTGCTGGTAACACTGTTCAGTGGACATTGCTGAAGTTCATGCTGATGTGTGTGAAGTTTGCATGCAGAAGATAATAGCATAAAAGAACATTTAGGTCATAGACTAAAGTGCGTTAGGGTATACACATGCAAGCACTACTTCATTTCTATGAATAAAGCTCAAATCAGTCAATTTTCCTATTGGCCCCAACAACTAAAAATCAGGTTACAATTTGGAAAGGTGTTAGTATCACTCTGGTGAGACTAGAGAATGGCAGGCAATGCCTCCCTCTTCAGATATTACTTAGTAGTTAAGAATCCTGATTTAGGAATGGTCATGTTGGGAGAACCAATGAACTCAATACACACGGGTAGTCTTGAGCCAACTGGAAATTTGCCATCAGGGCAATCAATCTTGGAAAAGACTCAGAATTAAGTATCATGAAACAAAGTAGTTATTTATCTATTTAAAAAAATTTTTTTAAAGGATATTAAGTCTTGTGGCCCACAAGCTGGTATCAAGGACAATCATTAACTAAAGAATAAGAGGAAATAATAACAAAAATATCATCTTGAGGTATGTCATGGCATTTAAAAATACTGTATAATACATGGAGCCTCACTATATACCATAATTACATTATATTAAGCTTCACTATGGTAACTTGCAGAGACCCCTCTTTTGTGTGTGTGTATGGTACTGGGGACTGAGCCCAGGGGTGCTTTACCACTGAGTTACATCCACAGCCCTTTTAATTTTTTGAGACAGGGCCTCCCAAAGTTGCTCAGGCTGGCCTCAAATTTGCAATCCTCCTGCCTTAGCCTCCTTTGTAGCTAAGACTATAGGCATATGCCACTGCGCCCAGCACAAAGAACTTTATGAAGTACCATTGTTCTGATATTTATATTTTATCCTTAGAACTAAAAACAGTGCTTCTCCAATTTTGCTGTGATGTTGGAATGTCTCATAATTCATACTGGGGAGAAGTTTAAACTTTGTATCCTAGGATAAAAGTTTGTTGTGAAAAATATAAACAAGATATGCAAAAATGCTCAAAGCATTTAAGAGAATAATTTGTTCAAATAGTTTTGTTTTAAATTTACATATAAATAACCCAACAAAAAATATGTCAGAATGTATTTTAGGGACATTACTTAACACTATTTGAATAACTTAACATAAAGATATAGGTTGCTGAAAGTGACTAAATTCTTCTTTCATACATTCTAATTCTTTGTGTGTGTGTGCTGAGGATTGAACCCAGGGCCAAGTGCTAGGCAAGCACTCTACCACTGAGCTATATCCACCCCTGTATTTTCTAATCCTGATTCTTATAATGTGTTTTTTAATTCTAAATCTGACTTTTATCATTACTGCAGGCCGGTAAGGTTTGATTTCAATTCTCTGTCATTTCAGGAGACATATTAGGAGAGACTGATAAAAGAGGATTACTTAAAACCATAGTCTGTCCAATCATCAGTTGTACCACTCATATTTTCTGACCTTAATTTCCTCAGAGGTACTATCTCCTTTACTAAATAGTGAGAAAATATGTGATAGAGCACTTTAAAGTAATACATAGCACTAGATAAATGTTAGAAATTATTCTTAAGAACTGGAGAGAACCTTCTAATATATTTTTTAAACTTTTTATTCATTTTTTTCCTTTAGAGAAGAAGAAAACTGTTATTGACAGATCTTTTTTACAAATTAACTACCTTTACTTTTAGGCAGTGTGTTTCGTATTTTGAAAAAACGATGTCTGTATATAATCTTTGGTCAGCCTCTATGTTAGTTTTTTCTTTTAAATAATACTGACTATATAAAAGTCATTTTTTAAGGACAAAAATTTTAAATATGAACGAACTCAAGCATTTCTTATTAGTCTTCAGTCATTAATCCTAATCATTTAGAATACCAGAAAGTGATAGGTTGCTTCAGATCTGAAATTAACAGCAAGGTGAGTTGCCAGACCCTTAAATGTGCTCTTACCCGTTTTCCCTGTGAAACTTAATATTGGTAGTGTATTTGTCTTTGAAACACCTTAAAATTGTCTTATATAAAGCTTGGCTATGATAAATTTATTTAAAATATTTTCTTTGAAGAAAATTTGCTAAGTATATCTTCCAATATTAAAAGAAAGAACATATCTGTAATAAAGAGGGTAACTGTTCATCCATCATGCCAACTCAAGCTAGGTCTTTCTTTCCAGTGCAGCAACATTTAGGGCAACAAAGTTCAGAATGGATACAATGGCCTGTTCAGAAAGCATGCAAGTTATTTCAGGTCATTTCTTTTAAGTCAGTATGATAAATTTGTTAACCAGACTCTGACCACGGAAAGGAGAGATACAGGAAGTGAATGGAAATTGCAGACATGCCAGCTCTGTTGGTTCATATTACAGCTACCTAATGTTGGGCTTTATTTCTTTTTCTTCTTCTTCTTCACTATCATCAACCTGTTGTATGACCAGATCGGCAGACCCATCCTCTACAATCTCCACATAGGATCTATTCTCATCTTCACTCAAGTGCCATCGGGAATGTTTATCTCCATCTGATGGGGACATAAGATGTTGCTCAGCTTCCAAATCAATGGGGAGGCTGTCTATGCCAACTTCTGCAAGACACTCATTACACAGTCTGTAGCGCCTGGTTCCTTCCTGTACCACTTGCCCTGTTAGGTCAGTCACATGGCGTTTGCATTTTCTGCAGATTAGTTTGCATGCCTGGTGAATCTGTGTAGAGATTTAAATAGTGATAAAAATGATTTTTCAAAAGCAGGACAGTTTGATATTTTAGGTATCAGTTCATAAACTTGAGATGTCCAAAGCCATGCATTAGACTCAAATTAACATCTAATCATTAGAAAAGGTTTGGGGATAAATTGATGTCACAGAAATATTAAATATCATTTTCTCTAAATGATAGTGGTTTTATTATTTTTTAAAAGTTTGTATTAGTTATTGATGGACCTTTATTTATTTGTTTATATGTGGTGCTGAGAATTGAACCCAGAGCCTCACATATGCTAGGCAAGCATTCTATCACTTAGCCAAAACTCCAGCCCCAGTGGTTTTATTTTTAATGTTACATACTGAATAATTTCATATATCCTTTAACCCAACAGTATTTTGATATCTAAGGTAAAAAGGGACACCTTCCTAGCATAAAAATAATTGCAAACACTTACTATGTGCCATGTATTGTATTATATATATATATATATTTTTTTTAATATTTCTTGAGTTGTCAATGGACCTTTATTTTATTTATTGATACATGGTGCTAAGGATTGAACTCAGGGCCTCACGCATGCTAGGCAAATACTCTACCACTGAGCCACAACCCTAGCCCCCCATGTTTTGTTTTTAAAGACTTTACTTTTTTTTTTTTTTTTTTTGCAGTACAGAATGGAATCCGGGGTGTTCTAACACTCAGCTTTGGCCCTGACCTTTTTTTAAGACAGTGTCCTGCTAAATTGCTGAAGCTGGCCTCAAACTTGAGATACTCCTGTCTCACTCAGCCTCCCAGATTGCTAGGGTTACAGGGCACACCACCACACTCAATTCCCTTTTTATTTTGAGTCAGGTTCTAGCTAAGTTTCCCAGGCTGGCCTCAAACTTTGTGATTCTCCTGTCTTAGCCTGCCAAGTAGGTGGGATATAGGTATGTGCCACTGCACCCAGCAGGACTTGATATATTTTAATTCAGAGAGGAAAAAACCTTTTATTTATGTATTATTATTTTTTTTGTTATTTAACCAAAGAAAAAAATATTATCCCAAATATATATATGTATGTGTGTATATATATATATGTATGTATATACGTATATATGTATATGTATATGTATGTATATATGTATATATGTATGTATGTATATATGTATATATATATATACACACAAATATATATATATAATTTTTTTAATATTTATTTTTTAGTTTTAGGTGGACACAATATCTTATTTTTTATTTTTTTATGTGGTGCTGATAATCAAACCCAGTGCCTCACACATGCTAGGCGAGCACGCCTCCACTTGAGCCACAACCCCAGCTCCTATTAACATTTTTTTTAAACCAAGGATTTAACCCAGGGGCACTGAACCACTGAGCCACATCCCCAGCACTTTTTATATTTTATTTTGAGACAGGTTCTTTCTAAGTTGCTTAGGGCCTTGCTAAATTGCTGAGGTTGGTTTTTAACTCATAATCCTCCTGCCTCAGCCTCTGGAGCCACTAGGATTACAGGCATGTGACACTGTGCCTGGCCCCAAATATAAATTAATCAATATTTTTGGATAGAAGGATTATTAGCTGTCTTTATTAATAAAAGAACTGGTAGAAATAGGATCACAGTAGGAATCAGAAGGCTTGTGTTCTAGTCCTAATTTTGTCATTTTCTATCTTTGTCAATTACTAACCTTGAACCTTGGAGCAAGTAATTTTAAACATTATGATTCTGCTTTCAAGGTGATAGTCAAAATATGTAACTGTATGATATGGCCACTCCCACTGGCCCCACCCCCAGGAAGATGGGAAGCCTGACTAGTCCAAATGGGCACTGGTCACAAACAACCTATAGGTCGTTTTTTTACACATCAACCTATTATTATCCCAGCCTGATTCTTTTTTTTTTTTTGTGGTGCTGGGGATTGAACTCAGCACCTTGTGCATGCAAGGCAAGCACTCTACCAAATGAGCTATATCCCCAGCCCCACCCTGATTCTTTATTGTTAATAGGCACACTACTCATGGGGTTGATGTGAGAACCGAATGGGTTAATAGGTGTGGAATGCTTTGGTTAAAAAGTTGTAACTGATGAATGATTATAAATCATTTTAGTTAGTAATAAACAATTTTGTTCAATAGCTGTTAAGAGAAGTAGATTATGGGTTCTACTATAAAAATTATGAGAATTAATTGTATAATGATGGATTAATGTTTATGAAATACTCATTTAGAGAAAGACAGAAAAGTATGAAAACCAAACAATAAAATAAAATTAAAAATCTAATATAGTTTGGTAAAGTATCTACGAGTATGTATAGAACATCATTCAGGACAGTTATTATCTTCTGCTTAACTGTTGACATTAAATAGCAAATATTAAAAGTGTACAGTTGAAAAGAATACTTATTTTCCTGAGAGAATAATATTATGGGTATCACATGTGGTGGTGTTTTTGTTAACAGAGTATTGACAAAGATTCATGAATTCCAATATAATTATGATGTCAAAGAAATTAAGTGAAACGCTACAATGTTTAAACTGAAAATATCAACATGAACTCATAATTTAAAAAAATATATATATATATGTATATATTAAAATGTATATATGTGTCCACTGAAATAATCTAAAAAAAAAATGACGGGCCAGGCGAGATGGCGCAGGGCTCTAATCTCAGCAGCTGGGGAGGCTGAGACAGGAGGATCGCGAATTCAAAGCCAATCTCAGCAATAGTGTGGTGCTAAGCAACTCAGTGAGACCCTGTCTCTAAATAAAATACAAAATAGGGCTGGGGATGTGACTCAGTAGTTGATGTGTCCCTGAGTTCAATCCCCAGTATCCCCTTACCCCTGCCAAAAAAAAAAAGAAAAAAGAAATGACAGGTTGGGATGTAGTTTAGTGGTAGAGGGCTTGCCTAGCACGTGCAAAGCCCTGGGTTCCATCCCTAGCACTGCCATAAAAAACAAAACAAAAAAAAAAAAAACGCATGACAACTCCATAACAGTGGGTACCCAAATTCTGGTCTCTAATTTCACCCCTCCTGAAAGGAACCAACATCCTTCAAGAAGTGGCTGATTCCACTTCTGTGGTAGGGAAAATATGAGGTGAGTGTAGGCCTCTTTTGGGTCCAGTGAATAAGGATACTTTCAAATGTAATGGGATGTGCCCAAAGGACACAAGAGCCACTTTAAGGTAGAGAATGGTCTGGATATAACTCTGAAATGTATCAAGAAGCACAATGAACCAATGAAAATTCCTAATACTCTACAGTATCTAAAACAGCAAAGCCTGAGAAAGCTCATATAATGTCACTGAGGCTGCTATTAAATCAATTCTTCACTTTGAAAATTGATTTAAGAGAAAGAAACAAATGTTTATCCTCCTTGTCCTATAGGATTTGGATTTCAAAATAACCAAATAGCTCCAGATGATAAAGGGAAATTTTGCTTCATAGAATTCCAGCTAATACTGTAGAAGAAATTATAAATTGGTAAATCATTCCACAACTCTAAGTAAAATCATTAACTGGTGTTTTTGTTTTTGTTCTTTTGGTGGTAGTGGTGGGGATTGAAACAAGGGCCTTGTGCATGCAAGGCAAGCACTCTGTCAACTGAGCTATGTCCCCAGCCCCCTAAAATTATTACTTCTTACATATTATCAATCACTGATAATATCTTTGAATGAAGAGTTGATGGGGAAAGGGGTCATTCTTGGATGCCAAAATTCTTTCACAAAAATTCCTTTCTTGTTACAAGGCAGCACCTTGATGTATACAATGGTGGAATTACATTATCATTACCCACAGAGAGAAATCTATCTTAACATCACAAATGATGGGCTGGGGATGTGGCTCAAGCGGTAGTGCGCTCGCCTGGCATGCCTGCAGCCCGGGTTTGATCCTCAGGACCACATACAAACAAAGATGTTGTGTCCACCGAAAACTAAAAAATAAATATTAAAGTCTCTCTCTCTCTTAAAAAAAAAAAAAGAAAAAATCACAAATGATGGGTCCACCAGACGTGTCTCTCCTAATGTAACAGATCATGAAATGTACAACTTTGCCCTTGATGTGTTCTAATTGAAAATGTTTAACTTGAATCCACTGGGACTTTAGATAAAACTTTTAGTTTATAGAAAATGCAAGGAGAATAATGGAACAAACTAAATGACACCATATGGAAGCAAGCAGACAAACCAGAGGGAGGGTGCTTTGAAGAACTACTGGCTGTCTTCAATAAGTCAGTGTTGGGGTAAGGGAGGGGTATGTGGGGGGGAAACTGTGCTAGATTAAAAATATACTTGAGGTGGAGCAAAGGTGCAGTAATAAAGCACATACTTAGGATGCGCTAGGCCCTGGGTGTGATCCCCAGCTACGACAAATAAAATAAAAGAAAAATATATTTAAGGGATTTAGCAGAGAGATGATACATGGTCTTAGACTGGATTCTGGCTTGGACAAACCAGCTCTATTTTGTTTTTTATGAGACATTTTAAGTGCTTGCCTTGCATGCACAAGGTCCTGGGTTCAATCCCCAGCACCGCAAAAAACAAACAAACAAATAAAAAAAAAACCCAAAACACAAATAAACAACGATTATTCACTAAAGAAAACAGGTTACAAAACAGCATGTACGATATGATCTCATTCGAAGCTAAAAAACAATTATATCCATAGAAGAAATTGTGGAAGACTATATAATAGAACTGTTAAGAATATTAAGAATAGTAACATTGGAGTGATAAAACATTTTTTGTTGTTGTTGTTTTCTTTCTTTATTTTTTTGGGGGGTGGAGTTATGGGGATTGAACTCAGTGGCACTGGACCACTGAGCCACATCCCATCCCTATTTTGTATTTTATTTAGAGACAGGGTCTCTCTCAATGAGTTGCTTAGCGCCTCACTTTTGCTGAGGCTGGCTTTGAACTCAGGATCATCCTGCCTCACTGCTGGATCATAGGGATGCGACATCAGGCCCGACTAGTTTCTTATTTTTTTATAATACATACCTATTGCTTTTGTAGTAATGAAAGATTGTTTATTACTATTATTATTTTCTTAAGTAACAGAGAATGAACCCAGGGGTGCTTGATGACTAAGCCACACATCCCCAGTCCATTTTTATTTTTTATTTTGAGACAGGTCTCACTGAGTTGCTTAGGGACTTGCTAAGTTGCTGAGGTTGGTGTTGAACTTGTGATCCTCCTGCCTCAGGATTACAGGCATGAGCCACCAAAAGCTTTTTAGTTTTTAAAACTCTAGTTCCATAAGGTTAACAAAGACAGAGATTTTGCCTGTATTTCTCATTGCTATCACTTAGAAAAGGAACTGGCATATACAGTGCTCTAAACATATTTGTTGAATAAATAATTATAAAGCAATGCATGATGCAATCACTGTAAGTGATCCATTGTCTTTTAAATTTAAAAAGAACGCTTGTAAATGGAACAGAAGCGTAAGTGACAGAACACATATTTTAGAAAAAAACTGTGTTGCCAAGATGAAGGGCAGAACAATTTCAATGTCACTATCTTATGAAACCCCCAGGGCATCAAAGAACAAATTCTCTGAATATTTTTTGACTGCTAACAGTCAATCCCTGACTGGAAGTGGCTTCCTTCCTTTAGAAGACTGGAGAGAAGCTGAAGGGAGACTAGAAAGGGGATGTAGTGGAGAGAGGTCGGCAACAAGACCAAGATACTACCAGACAGGATTCAGGAATCACTGGTAGATGCCAAATATGTGAAGTGGTGATTCTGACCTAGACATTTAAAACATTTGTACAGTTTGCATTATCTTTGTCTCTGAACACATCAACATATAAAAATATATTTGGTGTGAATTAAAAGAACTGTACTTAGAGGTCTCAAAGGAGACTAAAAGTATATATATATATATATATATATATATATATATATATATACACACACACACACACATACATACATATATACACACACACACATACATAAAATTATTATTTGGTGCATGACTTCGAATAATTTTTCCTATGGTAGAGTTATATGAAAAGATATGCCCCTAAACTGGATTACCCTAAAGCAGATAAATGCACATTGTCTCAAGAAGTAAAATGATGGAAGATCATATACATACTGTTCGGAAATGGCTACTTAGGTGGTCTAGCCTGCTAAACCTTTTTCCACACGCTTGACATGGATATGGCCTTTCTCCTGTATGACAGCGCAGGTGTCGCTTGAGGTCTGCTTTCCGCTTTACCACATGTGTGCAGTACGGGCACTTGAATCGCATCCTGGGCAGGTCATCTGTCACAAGACAGTTTTATTAAATCACTGGAGAGAGCATAACAATTCTACGAACATAAAGAATCCAAAAGGACTTGGTGAGTTCAATCTTGGAAAGGTAAATGGAAGGAGGAAGACATTCTATTAAGACCAGAATTGTCAATGTATTCCTATACAGAACTATAACTTTAGTATTTGATATATTTACAAAGTCCAGGTAAATTTAGACTATTACACGTGTCTTCATTTAACATAGTACAGTCATTACATTTTAAAAAAATTTTGTTTGTAGTTGTAAATGGATAGAATGTCTTTATTTGTTTATTTTTATGTGATGCTGGGGATCGAACCCAGTGCCCTGCACATGCTAGGCAAGTGCTCTGCCACTGAGTCACAGCCCCAACCCCAGTCATTACATTTTTTTAGTACTGTATTCTTTTTTTGGTACTAGGGATTGAACTCAGAGGTGCTTAACCACTGGGCCACATCCCCCACATCCCCAGCCCTTTCTATATTTTACTTTTTCTAAGACAGGGTCTCACTAAGTTGCTTAGGGTCTCCCTAAAATGCTGAGCCTGGTCTTGAACTTGCAATCCTCTTACCTCAGCCTCCTGAGTTGCTGGGATTACAGGCATGTGCCACTATGCCCTGCTAATACTGGATTTTAACACTATAAACAATGCAAAATTAAAACATTTAATATTCAGATTTTTGTTTGGTTGGTTTTTGTTGTTTTAGTAGTGGGGAATTACCTCAGGGGTGCTTAGCCACTGAGCCACATCTCCAGCCCTTTTTATATTTTATTTTGAGACAAGGTCTTACTAAGTTGCTTCTGGCCTTGTTAAGTTGCTGAGGTTGGCTTTGAATTCCTGTCAGCCTCCTGAGCTGCTGGGATCACAGGTGTGTGCCACCAAACCCAGCTAATATTCAAGTTTTTAAGCAATTTGTTTTATTTATGTTTTTTTATCACCTTGCCTTTACTTATCATGTACTTGTATTATTTCAAGGATCTTTAATATTTGGTTTTAAAGTACACATATAGTTATCTACAAAATGTTAGTTGTGGCCAGACACAATGATACATGCCTGTATTCCCAGTGACCCAGAAGAGTGAGGCAAGAGGATTGCAAATTCAAAGCTAGCCTCACCAACTTCGCAAGACTGTAGCCAAAAATCAAAACAAAAAAGGCATTCATGGGGTCAATCCTTAGTACCAAAAAAAAAAAAAAAAAGAAAAGAAAATTGTTAGTTATAATTGGAGGCAAACCTCAAAAATTTTTTTGTGGTGCTATGGATGGAACTCAGGGTCTCACACATGCTAGGTAAGTGCTCTGCTACTGGGCTACACCTCTAGCCCCAGACATTATTTCCAGGAAACACCCCTTTACCACCACCAGATACAAATCCACAGGTGCTCAAGAGACCTTAATAGAAATAATGTTGTATTTGCATATAATCTAAGCACATCCTCCCATACACTTTAAAACATCTCCATTATTTATAATACCTAATGCTATTTATATTTGTATAATATAAATGTTATATAAATGGTTGTGATACCATATTGTTAAGGAAATACAATGATAAGGAAAAAAGTGTACACATTCAGGCCACACACAAACTTGTTTCAAAGATACTTTTGTGTGTTTGAAATTTTTCTAAAATAAACATTTAAAATATATGTAATAGGGGCTGGGGATGTGGCTCAAGCAGTAGCGCGCTCGCCTGGTATGCGTGCGGCCCAGATTCGATCCTCAGCACCACATACAAACAAAGATGTTGTGTCTGCCGAAAACTAAAAAATAAATATTAAAAAACTCTCTCTCTCTCTCTCTCTCTCTCTCTCTCTTTTAAAAAAAAATATATATGTAATAGACCCTATAATCCTCAGGGACTTCTTTTTATTAAAATTTTGTTTGGAATTCACATATAAACAATTAAGCAAATCTGTTAACTAGTTCATTGGGGAAGAAGACTGGATGATATATATTTCTAATCCTTCTTTATTTCAGTCATATGGGAATAAGAGTAGTATACATACTCTATTTCTATATTTTATTACCATCATTAACAAAAACAAAAAACACAGCTGGGTGTGGTGGTGCATTCCTGTAATCCCAGGGACTTGAGAGGCTGGGACAGAAGGACCAAAAATTTGAGGCCAGCCTGGGCAATTTAGCAAGAATCTGTCTCAAAATTAAGAGAGAGAGAGGGATCTTTGTCTTGTCTTTTTTTTTTTTTTCTTTTTCTTTTCTTTTGGTACTGGGGATTAAACCCAGAGCCACATTCCTAGCCCTTTTTATTTTTTATCTCGAGTCAGGGTCTCAGTAAGTTGCTTAGAACCTTACTTATTTGCTAATGCTGGCCTCAAACTTGTAATCCTCCTGACTTGGCCTCCAGAGTCACTGGGATTACAGGCATATACCACCACACCTAGTGAGAAAGATATTTTATGTTGTTGCACACTGGTTCACTGAAGAATCACAGTAAAATTTTATGAGTTGTGTGTTACAAATTTAAAAAAAGAAAAGTATTATGGGACTGGGATTCTGGCTTAGTGGTAGAGCCTTTGCCTAGCAAGTTCAAGGCCCTGGGTTCCATCCTCAGCACCACACACACACAATTATATACTTATATCTTGATAAATACTCCTCCTGAGTGAAGACATTGGGGGGGGAATATGTAAAATACATATCTTAGAGACTGAACCATTGAGAAAAGACTTTAAACATTTAATAGTAATCCAAACATCCAGATATAGGTTTGAAAAATTATGTGGTTTTTTTTTTGTTGTTGTTTTAATATTTTTAGCTGTAGATGGACACAATACCTTTATTTTGTTTATTTAGTTTTATGTGGTGCTGAGGATTGAACACAGGGCCTCACACACGCTAGGTAAGCGACCTACCACTGAGCCGGCCACAACCCCAGCCCCAGAGAATTATGTTTTGACCATCAGTATTCTACTGACTGTCATTGAATGTATCCAATATTATTTTGAATTAAACATTTTAAATTCATGTTTTATAAAATCCATTTCATTATAAAAGTATGACTTAAAAAAAATTACTTGGTTTAACTACCTATGACACACCTAAAATTAGGGCATGTTGAGAAAGGATTTATATATAATAGCAGTTTGGAACCTGGTTGGGGAGTCATGCTCCTTTTGAATACCTGAAAAACTTCGGGATGTGACCTCAGATCCTTGACCATACTGATAGCCAACAGAAGCAGAGTCCATTTCTGTGTCAATTTGCGCTTGTTCTTCAGCCTGGGAAACATGGCTGGAAGAATCAGACGCTCGTGCTTCTCGTTTGCTTGACTTGTACTGAGCAGCTTCAGGAGGCTGTGACAGTCGCAGATGCTTGGTCTTTTTAATGGAATCTTTCCTCTGCTCATGCTTGGCCCCAGGGAGCTGAGTGCTCCGTTGGGAGGCTGGAGGGTAATTATACTTACCCCACGACTTTCCACCTATACCTGCTCCTTGATCTGGGCTGAGGTGAGAGTGTGGGGAACTGCTTTCTTCTTGCCAGCTGCCACCATAAAAAGCAGAACGCTCTATGCCATTAGAATTGGCATCCTTATCTGAGAGACTGAAGTAGCGATCTTTTTCCTTCTCACTAATGTCCAAGGAAGATTTGATAAAAGTCTTACATACACTAATGACATCAGTCATCTGAAGGAAGCTTGCAGCGGACATCACTTCTATGACATTCTGCCCAGTAAGAGAGAGTTTGCCTGAATAGACAAAGTCTAGGATAACTGTGAAAGTGTCCGGAGAGAAAGCCTGAAATGTAGCTGTGGTTGGCTGACTTGTCTCCTTGGAATTCTGAGAAAGAAGCATTTTGAAGTAGCCACTACTAGCAAATAATACATTTCGATGAGCTTTGAAGACCTTCCCTTCAACTAGAATACTGCAATCACAGAACACATCTTGCCTGCGCTGCTCATTTAGCTGTTGCAGGAGATGAGACTGATGGGTGGAAATCTCCATCCTGCAGGGAGAAGACACAGGGGGTTACCAAGAGCGGGACAGGAACCCCTTCTAGCATGAGTGCACTGAAATCAGGACCAGAAGCCTCTTTTTCCAACAAAACCACTTTTCTTCTTGAAGAATATAGTTCCAAGATATAGAAAATAATAGCCTTTGACATATTATTTAATACTATACTATGTTATTACATTTTTAGAAATTTTGTTTCACTGGGTGCAGTATCACACACCTATTATCCCAGTGGCTGGGGAGGCTAACGCAGGAGGATTAGCCTCAGCAACTTAGTGAGGCCCTCAGTGACTCAGTGAGACCCTATCTCAAAATAAAAAGCCAAAAGGCTGGGGATGTAGTTCAGTGGTAAAGCACCCCTGGGTTAAATCTCCAGCACCAAAAAAAAAAAAAAAATCATCTTAAAAAAAATTTTTTTTTGTTTCATCAGCAAACTTCACTAGGTCTTCTATCTATATGCTAAACTAAACACATTTGAATCCTACCCTCACATAGTTTTCAGTCTAGAGGAAGAATCAGGCATGAAGTAGTCAGAGGAAGTTCAATGGAAAGTCAAGTGCTTAAGGAAGGGTGCTATAAGTTATATAAAGGTTACACTAGTTTAGACTGGATGGAAAAGGTTAGGAAATACCTCCCTGAGAAGTGACATTTAAGCTGGGATCTCAAAGGTGACCAGAGGGGCTGGGGTTGTGGCTCAGCAGTAGAGTGCTTACCTAGCATGTGTGAGGCCCTGGGTTCGATCCTCAGCACCACATAAAATAAAATAAAGATAATGTGTCCATCTACAACTAAAAAAATTAAAAAAAAAAAAAAAAAAAAAGGTGACCAGGAATCAGCTAGCTGAAAAGCGAGGGGAAAGATTCTAGTTCCAACAAATGGTGGTGGAGAAAGTGCAGATGTTTCTCTGGCACAAATCCCTGAAGACGCTGACTAAAATATAACCCAAATTTGTTAAATGTGTTATGGTTGAGCTTGCAGGAAAGAATGTATGAGGTAGGAAGTTAGAACCCTCCCAGGGGTGCAACCTTCGTGAAAAGGGACTTAGTGAAAAGTTTTGTCCATAGTCTGGGGAAAAGAACAACAAAGTTTGTCTTTGTAGGGCCTTAAGGAAAAAACAAAAACAAAAACAAAAAACAAGATATTCAGATCTAAGATTGTACCTAATCTGATTCTAAAGTCCAAATTTATTTTATCTGCTTAGTGTGGGAAATCTCAACCTGAAGAATTAGCACAAAAATTAGCTCTGAGCTGGTGGGGCCCTGGGGCATCTTGCAAACAAATGGAAAATTGCTCAGGACTTATGCTCACAGAATTCAAGCCAGGCAGGAAGTAAGTTCTGAGTAAGCCGAACTCAAAATCATTTCCCCTTTTTAAGTGGATCATTTCTAATATTGTATAAACATGACATCTAATATTTCCTCTTACAAACAAGCAAGCAAACAAAAACCTCCCCTTGATTTCACATCTACTTCTGCCTACTACCCCATTTCTCTGCTCCTATACACAAAATTCATTGGAAGAATTTTATTTTGTTATTTGTATCTGCTGTCTTTACTTCTGTTCTCCCTTGAACCCATTCCAATCAGATTTTCATCCCCATCCATCAAAACCATCCTTTGTTTTTGTGTTTATTTTTATTGAGACAGGGTTTTGCTAACTTGCCCAGGCTGGCCTCAAACTTGCAATCCTATCCTCCTGCCTCCTGAATAGCTGAGATTACAGGCATTTGCCACTGCATCCGGCTTTAAAATAATTCTTTTTAAGGTCATTAGTAACTTGCCTATGGTCAAATACAACGGTCATTTCTTTGTCCTCATTTTACCAACACAGTTGATCACTTTCTTTATCCTAAAACACTTTTTGTCACTTGACTGCCAAGACACAATTCCTTCATGGTCCTCTTACCTTCCTGGTCACTCCTAGTCTCCTTTGCTAATTTTTCTCCATTTTCCTAATTTCTAAGTGATGGAACACTCCAGGCCTCAGACATTTTCTCTAGGGAATGACAGAGGTAGAGAAGATCCCTTGGGATCTCATTCAGTTTCATAATTTTAAATTCCATCTTTGAGTTTATGATTCCCAAATTTACATATCCAGCTCCTGGCTTCATTCCTGAACTTCAGACTTAGGACTCATATATGTGTTTACCAGCAACTCCACTTAAGATGTTTAATAGGCCTCTTAGCTTAACATGTCCAAAAACAGTCTTTGTACACCCCTGACCAGCCTGCCTTCCCTATAGTCTTATCCATTTCAGGAAATGGGTATCCCCATCCTACCACTTGGTCTGTTACTTTACCTTCAAAACAAATGGAAAATCCCACCATTTCTCTCCATGACTGCTACTATCACCTGGGGCACTTGGATTCAATCCCAATACCCCCCCCCCCAAAAAAAAAGTGCAAGTGTGTAAGTATACAAGATGTTGCTAAGTTACCTTGGCACAAATCTGTTAATGTGCTTTCTAAGAACTTCTAAGGCTAAATTAATTGATACAGGTGCAGTTACCAGCAATTCTGGACTTAATGTGTCAGTATGGGCACTTGGGAATGGCTCTAAAATTTTTTCACTGGCTGACTGAAACATGAAATGAAGGGTAGGCCATCTTTAATGAGGTCCAGACGCCTGAACTTCTGGCATGACGTGGAGGAAGAAACCACAGGACCTAGATGCCATTATGAGAGATGATACCCCAAGAGATTAGGTGCTGTTCCATAGGATGTGATATATGTATTTAAAAGCACTGACTAAAACATGATGCTACTTTTTTCCCCTGTAGTTAGAAATTAAGGGACTTGCGAGTGGTGATGGGGCTGAGGGTGGCTCAGTGGCACAGCACATGCTTAGCATTTATGAGGCCCTTAGTTCAATTCCTCAATCCCCAGCACCAAAAAATAAATGAGGTTCTCACTGTATGAGAGGTGAGCCTTTGACAATCACATAAGTCTAGAGCTGAAAAGGATATGTTCAATAAATGAGAAAGCTCACCTGGAATAATGCTAAAACAGAATAAAATCTGACAAAACTATTTATCTGTTGGTACTGGGGAATGAACCCAGGGACACTTTACCATTGAACTATATTCCCATCCTTACTTTTTAATTATTTTTTATTTTTTTTAAATATTTATGTTTTAGTTTTAGGTGGACACAATATCTTTATTTTATATTTATGTGGTGCTGAGGATCAAACCCAGTGCTTCATGCATGCTAGGAGAGCACTTACCACTGAGCCACAATCTCAGCTCCTATTTTTTTGAGACAAGTTTTTTTAAATTGCTGGCCTCAAATTTGTGATCCTCCTGCCTTAACTTTCTAAGTCACTGACAAAACTATTTATACAATGTCCTGATGCTATTCTTTTCTTTTCCTTTCCTTTTTTGGTGGCACTAGGGACTGAACTTGGGGGCATTATATCACTGAACTACATCCCAACCCTTTTTTATGTTTTGAGACAGGGTCTTGCTAAATTACCCAAGCTGGCCTCAGACATGTGCCACTCCTGCCTCACAGTCTTCTAAGTTGCTGGAATTTTAGATGAGTGCCACTGTGCCTGCCCCTGATAATATCATTTCAATTCCTGGATCCAGTTATGCCTGAAGCCAGTGTTGTCACTAGATTTTTAGTTACATGAACCAATGAATTTCCTTTAATGCTTAAATTTAAGCTGAATTTTTATGGTTTGTGGCCAACAGTCACATGCTGCTAATATGTGACCCCATACATGGTCCCAACTCACAGCCGATTCAAGAATACTCTAAGTCTTCAGTTCTTTCATAGTTGTGTCAGATAGTACTCCTCTTGAGTGCGTAGCAGAATTTAGAAAGAATGTGAGGAAAACCAACAATTTTTTAGCTTTTCTTGCCAACGTTCAGAAAGCTTTTACCACTATGGTTTATAATTAATGTATAAATAGTATATGAAACTATTGGATTTTTTTTTTCTGTCATGTCTTTTTATAAAAGAATGCCCATATGGGGCTGGGGTTGTGGCTCAATGGTAGAGCGCTCGCCAAGCATGGGTTCCATCCCCAGCACGAGGCACTGGGTTCGATCCTCAGCACCACATAAATGTAAAATAAAGATATTGTGTCCACCTAAAAAAAAAAAAAAAATTATTATTATTATTTTAAAGAATGCCCATCCATTGTCTGGCTATAAAAAAATATATATTTGGGGCTGGGGTTGTGGCTCAGTGGTAGCGCACTTGCCTAGCATGTGTGAGGCACTGAGTTCAATTATCAGCAACGCATATGAATAAGTAAAATAAAGGTCTATGAACAAATTTTAAAATAAAAAATCTTAAAAAAAATTCTACTTAGCAGGGAAAACAATTTTTATGAGGAAACACTGATGGAATCAGTGCAATCAAGTTTATCATATCACTAAATAGTAGAGTTCTAATATTGGTATAATGGCAGTTTTTTTCCCCTTTATATGCCCTAAAGTCCTGGAAGGCTTCCAGAAATTTCTTTCACCCATGTTCATTTTTAGTTGTGAGTCATTTCTTCCCAGGCTAAATAATTTTTTATGATACCTTTCATGATGTCAGAAGCTTTCCACCAATCTCTAATTAACAGCCAGCCAGTTTTATGAAGGTATTTTTCATAGTCCATTGTAAAATATCCATTTTAACATCTAAAGTAAGATTTCTGTGTAGCAGTTTTGCAGTAACTTTAATACTTCACACTCTGTGGTAAGTCATTATGGATCAAAATTATTCAGCAGAACATGGAATTTAGCAGAAAGTGAGACCGTGGCCTATAAATATGAATTGATTTGTGAGGACCCTTAATTTTCAGCAATATACAGTCTGTTAAGCCTGCTCTCATTAGTGTTAACCATACCAAAGTGGCTGAGAGGTATGTTAAAAATATATTAACCACAATTCAGTACTACATCAATTTTTTTATTTGTGAGTTTATTAAAAAAAAAAAAAAAAAGTTTAACCCCAGCGGAAAAATTGAGCATTCATTGGCCAGGAATCAAACCCA